ATATATTTGAAATCTTTTTCTTCAGTATGTATGTATATGGAGAGAGAGATAGACATAGATATATATCCTGTATATAGCAAGTCCTGATGGGATAGTAAGTGCTGAGCTGCTCACCAAAAAGTCAGAAGTTCAATTATTTCACAGAAGAAAGATAAGGTCATCTCCTTCTGTTAAGTTTTATAGCCTTGGAAACCCAGTGAGTGTTACCATGATTTGGGATCAACTTGAGGTCAGTGAGATTGGTTTCAATTATCCTCTCTATATTGTTAATATATATACTCAAAACGTTAGCTATATACTCAGTATGTCAGCTATATATCCAATATATTTTGTATATATCATACAAATACATATTAATATAGACACACACACATTTGTATGTTGTTGTTGTTATGTGCCATCGAGTCGCTTATGACTCATAACAACTCTATGTACAATAGCCCTGAAACCTGATTTATCCTGTGTCTCTGACACTCCTACCCTCATTACTCCAGTCACTGAATTAATCCATCTCATTGATGGTCTTCCTCTCTTTCCCTGGCCCTCCACCCTTCCAAGCATGATGTCCCTCTCCAAGGACTGGTCCCTCCTTGCAACATGCTCCAAGTATTCCAGATGACGCCTCAAAACACCCTTTATATATTAATCAACTTGATTGCAGTGAAATTTCTATATTATATATGTTGTTGATTGCCATCTAGTTGAGCATGACTCATAATAACCCTATGACCAGAAGGCCGGAAGCCTTTCTATAACTAGTTCATAGAGGCATGTTGTTTAGGAAGAAGATGTCACCACTCCTGTTTCCAAATATACATATATTCCTCTAACAATAATATTATATACAAAAATACATCTACTATATATCTCCTATTATATTGTTATTGTTACGTGGCATCACTTGCAACTCACAGCAACCCTATGTACAACAGCCCTGAACCTTGCTGTATCCTGAGTCAACCTTACTGCCTCTGACACACCTACCCCTATTACCCCAGTCACTAAGTCAATCCATATTATGAAGGGTCTTCCTCTCCTGCGCTGACCCTCCACCCTCCCAAGCATGGTGTCCTCCTCCAAGGACTGGTCTCTCCTTGCAACATGCCCAAAGTATGTCAGACGAAGCCTCAGAATTCTTGCCTCCAAGGAGCTGTCTGGTTTCACCATCTCCAGGATGAACCTCTCTGTTCTCCTAGAGGTCTATGTTCTTCTATATATTGTAATATACTATATATATGGTGTGTGTGTATATATATTTACATATACTATATGTTTTGTGTAGATATACCCTATATGTTGTTGTTGTTGTTGTTGTTGTTGTTGTTGAGTATCACTGAGTAGGAACCAACCCATTGCTGACCCTCTTGCAGGTTTTCAAAAGGAGTGAGTCGCACTGGAGGAGATTGTCCATCCTTCTCCCATGGAGCCGATGGTGGGTTTGAACTATGTGCATTCAGGAGTGCAGTGCATGCTCTTAACACTCCCAAACATACACGGTTCAAATCCACCAGCTTCTCTGCAGGAGAAAGATGGGCAATCTCCTCCAGTCCTATTAACTGTTTCTGAAAACCTACTGGAGAGTCAACTATTATCGATGCCAACTCAATGTAAGCAACAAAAATAATAAATTATTATAATTTTTTTATGTTCAGGTGGAGTTCTTTTAATTCCTAGTTCTTTTGTCCTTCATTCCAGCAGGAAAAGAACACGCAGATGCATGAAGAGCAAAGGGTCAAGCAATGGTGGCCAGAGACATTCTTGCTGCTGCACAGGTCTGGCTCTGGCCGCCCAACCCAAGAACCTTAGTACCCTAACCTTTCTGTCCACAGTAGGAAGGGTGGCCACCTACCTGGTGGTTTGCTGATGGCTCTCCTCTCAGGCTCCTTAAAAGGGAACTGCAAGGTGGTGTCCAGTGACTTAAAGCAATCCTTCAGGGAGTTCTGCTGATAAAACTCCACCAGTTCCTAGAAGAACAACAGCGTGTCAGGTGCTGGTGCTTCCCTGACTGCCCATGCCAGACTATCCCAGCAGGCCAGTCCAAGAGGCCAGCAGAGAGGAACAACTGATATTCAACTCCACACATGGAGCAAGCCCTTCTCTGGTCTCTCTAGTATGTGACTCTTTGGATACTCCCTATGATGGGGAACTCATTCCCTTTCTGATCAATCAGAACCAATTTATAGAGAGGGTATTACATACCTAAAAGCAGTTCTCCCAAAAGCCAATTCAATTAATGATAAAGTTACCAAATAACCAACTTTCTCAATAACCAATTTACCAACTTAAACTCCCTTGTGGGTGTCAAATGCCTTATTTTTCAAATTCATGATAATAATCACAAGTGCTGTGTACTAAGCATCTACGGCAAAGGCACACAGCTGCCAGAGGATGTCAGGACGCTGGACAGGTTTCAATGGAGCTTCCAGCCTAAGACTAGGTAGAAAGGTCTGGTGATCTCCTTCTAAAAATTCACCAGGGAGAAAACACTTGTTCACAAGGATCTGATCATGGGGATCTTTCCTTCTATTGTACGTGGGGATCTCCAGGAGTCAGAGGCTGACTCAACAGCAACTAACAACAACGATATGCAAGCCATGATGCATATCACAAATCCTATTAATCCAGACAGGTGAATACACCATTCACGATTCTCCCATTTTACATATGGAGGAACTGAAGCACAGAGAGGGGAAAACCCTTGTCCTGTGTCCTACAGAGGAAAACAGGCAGTTTTCAGATCCAGAGAAGACAGAGCAGCACACGTGCTAAGAATTAGCCTCTGTATCAACAATGCTCTGAGTTCAAGTCTCGAATATTTCTTTCAAGTGGTTAAGTTTATTTTAATAATGAGTTAACAATCAGGTGAGTGAACATTAAGAGGCATTTCTCAAAACAAAATGTCTTGTATTTTTGGAATTCTAGATTCCAAAAATGCCAATGTCGTGAAAGACCCCAAGGGAAAAAGAATAAGAAACCTATTGTAAACTAAAATAGGGAAGGGCAGTTCAATGCAATGTTTAATCTCTGATTAGGTTTTTTGTTGTTTTGGGTTTTGTTTTGTTTTTTTGGAGAACATCTACAAAGGACATAATTTAAACACTTAGTTTGAATATTAAACAATAGTTTTTCATTAATGTTAAACTTTCTAATTATTTTTTGTTTTGGTTTGGGGGTGTTTGGGGGGTTTCTGGAGAAATGTCAATTTTAATTTAAAGCAATTCAAATTGCTTTCAATGGACACCACAAGAAGATAAAGGTAAATAATCCAATTGAAAAATGGGCACAGGATATGAACAGACACTTCATCAAAGAAAACATTCAGATGGCCAACAAGCACATGAAGAAATGTTCAAAATCTCTAGCTCTAAGAGAGATGCAAATCAACAACTATGAGATATCATCTCACCCCAGTAAGAATAGCAAAATTTAACAGAACAGCAAGCAACAAATGTTAACAAGGTTGTGGAGAACTGGAACTCTTATTCACTGTTGGTGGGAGTGTAAAATGGTGCAACCATTGTGGTAGGCAGTGTGGCATTTTCTCAAAAAGTTGCAAATAGAGATACCATTTGACCCAGCAATTCCACTACTGGGAATATACCCCAAAGAAACCATAACTGACAGCCAAGCAGATATATGCACACCCATGTTTATCACGTCTTTGTTCACAATAGCAAGGAGCTGGAAACAACCTAAGTGCCCATCAACAAACGAATGGATAGAGAAGCTGTAGTACATTCACACAAAGGAATACTACGCTGCATTGAAAAACAAGGAACTCATGCAATATTATTTAAAATAGGTGACCCTGGAGGACATTATGCTGAGTGAAATATGTCACAATAGGACAAATACTGCATGGTGCCACTGTTGTAAAACAGGGCTGACCTCGGGGTTGGGGGGAGACTGAGAAAGATGGGTTCAATAATGTATACTGCATTGAAACAGATGAGGGAGAAAACTGTTTAAAAGGAATATGTGATTAAGTATTAATGTCATGACAGGAGTCCAGAATGAAGGCTGCATTGTAGAGTGGACTTGGAGGGAGGGATTGTATAATAATGAAAGAATTTTTCTTTTACTTTTCAAAGAGAAGAGTGAATTGGGGTGGGGGAGGAGTGGACAGGGAGAAAAGTGAAACAATAAATGAATGGAAATCCTCAGTCTCTGTAAACTTTCATTAAAATTAATTAAAACAAATAAATAAATTGCTTTCAATGAAACATAATTTAGAATTTTAAGGCGTACGCCAGGGATGCATCCTATCTCCATACCTTTTCAACCTATATGCAGAACAGATTATCCGGGAGGCCGGGCTCTATGAGGAGAAATGTGGGGTCAGGATTGGTGGACGATTTATCAACAATCTGCGTTATGCGAATGACACAACCCTGCTTGCTGAAACTGAGGAGGACCTGAAGCGCCTGCTGCAGAGTGTCAAGGACTACAGCCTACAATACGGATTGAGGCTCAATGTCAAGAAGACAAAGATTCTCACCACTGGACCAATCGGCAGCATCAGGATGGATGGTGAAGAGATTGAGATTGTACACAGCTTTAGTTTGCTTGGCTCCATAGTCAACAGTCTTGGCACCAGCAGCCAGGAAATTAAAAGGCGCATTGCCAAGGGAAAGTCTGCTGTTAGGGACCTCTCCAAAGTGCTGAAGAGCAGTGGTGTCTCTCTGGAGACTAAGGTGCGTCTGATACAGGCCATGGTCTTCGCAATCACCTGTTATGCATCAGAGAGTTGGACAATGACCAAGGAGGATAGAAGGAGAACTGATGCCTTTGAGCTGTGGTGCTGGAGAAGAGTACTGAGAATACCATGGACTGCTAGGAAAACAAATAGATTTGTCCTGGAGAGGTTAAACCAGGTGGCTCCTTGGAGGCAAGGATTCTGAGGCTCCGTCTAACTTACTTTGGACATGTAGTGAGGAGAGACCGGTCCTTGGAGAGGGACATCATGCTTGGGAGGGTGGAGGGACGGCGCAGGAGAGGAAGGCCCTCTATGAGGTGGACTGATTCAGTGACTGGGATAATTGGGGTGGGAGTGTCAGAGACAGTGCGATTGGCACAGGACAGAGCGGAGTTTAGGGCTGTTGTACATAGGGTCGCTATGAGTCGCAGGCGACTCAATGGCACATAACAACAACAACAATATTAAAAGTATTCTATGCTGATAAACATAGGCTATCTGCAAAGGTCAAATCATTAGGGAGAATTTTAATAACCATTTCTGAATTCATGAAGCACAGTATTGTCTTTACAGTATTTATAAATATACCATACAACACTGTTTCCTGTTATGTCATATACCAAAATGGCATTCATTGAAAACAAGCCTGATGACATCTGATTCTTATAAAAATGAATCATTTGAATAAGTTAGTAAAATAAACGGCAGTATTCACTATTAGGCAAGTTGTTGTTATGAGCCATTGAGTCACCTTCGAATCATAGCAAGCTTATGTGCAATAGCTTTGCATTCTGGTCTCTCCTGAGCCAGCCTCATTGTCTCTGGCACACCTACACTCATTGCTCCAGTTACTGTATCAGTCCATCTCACACAGGGTCTTCCTCTCCTGTGCCTTCCCTCCACCCTTCCAAGCATGATGTCCTTCTCCAGGGACTGCTCTGTCCTAACAACATGCTCAAGGTGTATGAGACAAGGTGTGTGCAATGGAACTTCAAAATCCTTTCCTCCAAGGAGCAAAACCTGGTTTCACACTCTCTAGGATACATCTGTTTATTTTCTTGGTAGTCCTGGGTATATTCAATACTCTTCTCCAGCACCACAGCTCAAAGGCATCCATTCTTTTCTGTCATCTTTGGTTATTGTCCCACTCTCTGATGCATAGCAAGTAAATGTGAAGACCGTGGCCTGATTAGACATACTTTAGTCTCCAGACTGACCTAGTTGTTCTTTAACACTTTGGAGAAGTACCTGCCAGCAGTCTTCCCAGAGTAATTCATCTTTTTTTTATTTCCTGACTTGGTACCAAAAGTGTTGACTGTGGAGCTGAGCAAGCTGAAACTGTTAGCCACCTCAATCTCTTCTCCATCTATTATGATGATGCCAATTGGTCAAATAGTGAGAATCTTTGTCTTCCTGATGTTGAGCTTCAATCCATACAGTAGACCGCAGTCCTTGACATTCTGCAGCAAACGCCTGAGGTCCTTCTCAGTTTCTGCAAGTAAGGTTGTGCCATCTGCATAATGTAGGTTGTTGATGAGTCTTCCTCCAATCCTGATGCCACATTCCTCCTCATACAGCCCAGGACCCTGGATGATCTGTTCTGCATATAGATTGAAAAGGTATGGAGATAGAATGCATCCCTGATCCACTCTTCCTGATTCTGAATCATACAGTGTTTTGTTGCTCTGTTCTGATGACTGTTTTCTTGTCCACGTATAGGTTTCACATGAGCACAATCAAGTGTTCTGGGATTCCCATTCTTCTCAAGGTCGGCCATAATTTGTTGTGATCCACACAGTCAAATGCCTTTGCACGGCCAAGGAAACACAGACTGACATTCTCTAGTACTCCGCTTTCAGTCAAGATCCATCTGACGTTGGCAATAATGTCTCTGGTGCTATGGCCTCTTCTAAACCTGGCTTATAATTCTGCCACTTTTAGGCATGCATTACTTTTAGGGATATTTTAGTAAAAATGAGGTTTACTTTCCTTTGATTCATTTTGCACAGCAACACACAAAAAAAGAATCATACATATGAGAAGGGCTAAATATGCAAGTAATTATTATTATTCACAGTGACATGGCTACAAAAAATGCAATGCCCTATGCATATTCTTCTTGTTTCATTGGATTTCAAGATAAAAAGCACTTGCTTTCTACAGGTTCACAAAACAGCATAATAACAACTATTAAGGGGAATGTAATGTAGGCATTCACATCCTTCGGGCATGTGACCAGGAGGGACTTGTCCTTGGAGAGGATATCAT